ATTACAAAACTGAAGAGCAACAAAATTACTTAAAATTGCAGTCTCATTTAGAAAGGACAAAATCATACTGCCAATCATGCAAAGATAACGTATAGTTTAATTAATGTTATTTTTATACTCAAAATCAGTTTCTGAGTTCATTCATTCAACAAGTACTTACTGCACCCCTACTGTAAGCTGGGCAGCCTTCCTGGCACAGGAGAATCAGGAATGAACGAGACACAGAAATCCCTGCCCTTGTGAGGTGTACACTCCAGAGGTCTTAAGCTAGAGAGTCAGCAATGGAGGGGCACAGAGATGGTAGAATTCTCGATCTACTTTGAAGTTTAGAAACAAAACCATTTGTTGACTGAATGGATGTTGGGCCTGGAGTCAAGGATGCTTTTAAGATCCGGGGCCTGCCCAATGGAAGGATGCGTTTGCCATGAATGGACGTGGGCAAGCTGGGAAGACGTGCTGTGGGGAGGTCAGGAGTTGAGCTCTGTCCATGATGGGTCTGAAGTGTCCTTTAGTGATGTCACATTGGCACGTGGATATACAACTGGGGTGTTGAGGGGAGAGGGCCAGGGAAGAGACACAGACTAAGGAAAGATAAACTAGGACAAGGGAGATCTAGCGGAGTATCTGGACGTAAAAAGACTTCATTCTCTTTAGTGTCCACGCTGGAAGTAGATGATAATGTCGATGAATTGTATTTCTCAGTACCTCTCCACTTTTCCAACTCCTTTTTTTATATAAGAAATTCTGCCTTGATTAAAGGTCTGTAGTTGAAAGTTATTTGCATTTCAGAAGTTTGCCTTTTTAAAACACGCAGTTAACATTTTATAGGATAAATGTTCTCATCAAGGCAGAATCATCATCAACAATGTTTTGAAAATAGAAATAAATGTACATGAAAGCATGCTTAACCCATTTACCCTCAGGAAGCTGTATTATGCTCGAGGTCAGAGCTGGCAGCAGGTTGGCCCTCCAGAGGCCATCAGTCAGCTCATCACAGGTGAGTCCGCACCAATGACCACAGCAAGGAGCACAACAGGCCCACACACAGCAGGGGGCTGCCGGACTTCTGCTAGAGCATCAGGAACAGCGCCGGGCCTGTCAGCACCTGAAACTCCACTCTGCTTCACTCAGTGTTTATACAAAGAACTGTTTATCTATTTCCATGAAATAAAAAAGGTTTATATATCAAAACTCTACACTATGGCTGAAAAATAAATCCACAGGCATTAAGATTTCTAAGAGAAGAAAACAGTATCTTGCTAAATGCCAGACTTAGAAAAGATTAAAACAAACCAACCAAAAAAATCGAGAAAAATCTAGATAATTGAAACATGCATTTTATTATTCACTGCTTTTAAAGAAATGGCTAACATCTAACGGTTATAAAATTTTAAAAATCTAATCAAAAATTTATTTTCCTTCTCAAGAGTGACTGTCAATTTACAGTGTGTAGAATTCAAGTTACTGAGGAAGGAAAACCAGAACCCAAAGCAAACGGAGGTGAGGAAGTCGGTATCTTTGTGCTCTGGAACCTCAGCGTCTGACTTCACTATTTCATCTAACGTGTTCCATCACATCATTTTGGTGTAATTTCCTCACAACATTTTCCAAAAGCTCTAATTTATTAAGTTATACTCCAGAAATCTTTCTCATTGGAGGGAAGAGCAGAAGAAAATTCAGGACACTCCAAAAGAATACTTGTAGGTTTACTGATCAGATTCTAGTCAACCATTGCTGCTGGGTTTTCTTTCTTCTTTTACTTTATACATATTTTAAAAACTATCTTTTGATTGTTTATTTTGAAGGTTACCAATTTTGTGAATCCTGATTTCAGGCAAATCACAAGCACCACAACAAAAGATGGTCTTAACTGTCATTTGCAAAGCACAACTTAGTTAAAAATACTATATTCTTCAATTTAATTGGGGACATAAAATAATAAACTGTATCTTCCAACACAGATAAAAATTCAAAAATAAATTATAACTATAGACTACAACATAATATTAAAAGAAAAGAAAGCCCTTTTGTGAGCACGCAAATACTTCCTCCTCTGTATATGGGGACACAAAAGCATTTTCAGCTTTCAGGTTTCGACAAATCCTGTTGTAACAACAACTCCCTCCCTTGCCCGCCTCTCCTTTCTTAATTCTCCCACAGTTCAAAAAATGAGATGGAGAACCTGGTATTTATCTTCTGGCACCATCAGCAGTTTTTACCTCTCAGATTTCTATGTTGCTCTTTATTTGCTATTTGCAAGTTAACTCACTAATACTCAGAGGCTGTGAAATGAGCCTCATGCATGTGGTTCCTCTTCATCATACCTCATTGGGGTTCATCGGAAGACAACTGACAGAGGGGAGTTAAGACACTGAAGGCTAGCAACCAAAGGTATGGAAAATGAGAAGCTTTTCTAATGCTCTGAGACCTAAATATATCTTCAAGTGTTATTTAGTTTGAATTATAAGTTGTACATCTGTTTTTAAATATTCCTTGTGATACAAATATACCTTGTCTGGAAAACTGACTTTACATTTTACTGAAATCCACCACAGACTTTCTGTTGGCAAATGGTTCATAACTTTAACATTCAAAGGTTCTGTTCTGTATGCAACGTGTTTCAGAACCGTGAGAGGGGTTCTCTATTTAGAGCTAAGCTGAGACGTGCGACCCCTTTGGTTTGCTTACTTTCACAGTATTTCTCTACCAGCAGTACCACCACCAACACTGAAACAAAGTATGCCTTTATTCTCCAAGAGACAGAAATCTGAGAAAACAGGCCACAAATTGTGTCATGCTTGTGGCTGGAGAGGGAACAAAAAGGATTTCATAGCAATGTAGCTAAGATGCCAATATATTTTTACAAAAGGAACAGAACAGTGACCTTCATTTTGGAGAACAAATTCCTTCTGCATAAGTTCTGTATGCAGAAGAAAGCATTTAAAGTCCAATATTCGGCAGCAAGCCAGCGCTATGCTAACTGAATGCAATGTCATATTGTTTACGCTGATTTGGGCTGTCTGTAATTTATCACTGCCAGTACTTGTTAATTAAGATGAACAAGCTGTCTGCAAGTCTGAATTACATTGAAATTTATAAAATGTACTGGTTAATGGGAAGAAAAGAGTTATAATTGGGAAGCTGAGCATAGACTGATCAACACATAAAGGTTACTCAACCAAAGTAAAAATAAAGAAATGAGATGCTCTTCGGGAATGTTAACAGCAATCTCTAGCTCTTGAAGAATCCCTAAGATGAAAAGGGTCTGGAAGGCAGTAATTTAGCGAGCTGGCTGGAGCCTGACATGTTAAAACCCAAACCTGAAAACAGCTATTATGAAACTATAAACATGTCTTTCATTTGTTCCTAGAAATGTTAACTTTTGTTCTATTTTGATCTCAGATATGAAAAGAAATTTGGAAAACAGAAAAGAACTGCAGGATGGCAGGCAAAGCCTAAGCACTCTGATGCTTATACTAAGTCTGACTCAAGAATTTAAAATCTCAGGGAAATCCTCTTCCAGAATGGTAAAATTTACACTTTAAGACTATGAACAAAAATTCAACAATGGAATTCAGATAGCCCAAGATTTAACTTCTTAGAAAGTCAATGTTAACTGTGGAATTTTGTAATTTTAATACAGGCATGGGTCAGGATTACTTCTGATACTTCACAAGAGCTAGGCATCAAGCTCCTTGGGAGTCTCTGAAGCTAAGCCATTTGTCCTATTAGTACCCTCTGGAGTCGTTTTTGTCTTGGTGGGAAAGGGAGTGAGAGAAGTTGATAGCTAATGGTGCTTTTTGGCCCCCAGATGTAGCATTTTCCCCACTTCCCACGGAAGCACATGGGGAAGATTTCACCAGAAAGTACTGTGCAAAGGGGGAAAATGCAGGATGGAGGGAGGCGGGAAGAGACGGGGATGAGCTGGACACTGCCAGTCCGCCAGAGACCTGTGTGGCACGGGGTGATTTAACACCTAAATGTCCTAATCTGAAAAAATGATGACGCACAAGATTATAGCTACGGTTTCTTTCAGCAATCAGATTCTATGAAAATAAATAACATCAGCCTTTTGTAAGAGAAAAAAGAAAAAAATCCCATGTCATTAAATATCAATTGTCTCATGATACAAAATAAATAAAAATACTAATAATGATGTCAATTACAATTTATTGAGTAACTCCTTTGGGTTGGATATTGTTCTGAGCCCTTCAAACGCATTAACACAAACAATCCTCCTCATTTCCCAGCAGAGGACACTAAGGCACAGAGAGGTTCTGGAAAGCCAAGATTTGACCCAAGTGTTTTGGATTCAGAGCCCATACTGCCTTTTGTGAAATACAAATGAATCACGATAGAGCCACTCAAATACGTCATTCAAAAATTAATTCAGAAACCCAAACAGGCCAGTATTGCTGTATCTCAGAAAACCACTATATTTCTCTCAAAGGAGGCAACAAATACTGCCAGAGTAAGACACAGCCAAGCTACAAAGTAAGTGCTATCTTTTCCTCCTCAAAGAAAAGAAAGAAAGAAAGAAAATAAAGTCACACTACTTTTGGTATCCTTTCACATACAACTAACGATGTGGTTATTCCTGGTCCGTATTTTCATGATCTGATGTCACTGCTCCCGACCGTTCAGAGTAACCGGTTCTGCAGCAGACTACTTCATCTGGGTCAGGGAACGATTCTGGTCCCAAGTAGAAAGGATCTCACATTCTCTTAAGCAAAGACAGTGGCTTAATTGTTGCAGTTTTGAGTACTTTGCACCTGAAGAGACACAACTGCTAACCTAGGTAAGGATTTTGCACGTTTACTAACTGGAACAGAGGGATAACCCTGCCAGTGACTCGGCCCTCTATTACTTTCCTCTCCTCCTTAAACAGTTCACCTGGGCTATGTGCCTGGGATACAGTGGCTGCTTAATAGATATTTTTTAAATAAAATCATTTTTTGAATACTTAAAACTTTTCTAATATATATTTATAAATCATTTTTAAGAGGTGGGTTTAAACCCTTCTTCCTTATTACCTAGAGTATTTGAATTAGAAATAAGTTCTAAAAGCCTGTAATGCTATTAAAATTCTTTATCAGATCCTAGGGCTGCAATTTGAAATGCTATATCTCCTAACAAGGTGCATGCCCACTTTACAGACAACTTCAGCACAGTTTAAGAAGAACGCAGTGGACAGTTCTGGCCTTTATGCCATGTATCCAGCACCACCCACCCACAATACTCAGCAGAAAGGGTACCCTCGGAGGGCCTGGTGTGAGCTTTCCTCCTGGGCTGCAGTGTCCTCATCCACCCTGGGCCCTATTCAGATGTGTTCTTGGCTCCCGGTGCACACGGACGCCTTTTGTTTATTCTTTCTTTCCTTCAATCCTGATTTTGTCTTCTTTCCCCAGCCTTTGTTACTTGGTTCTCTACTGCACAGAAGGAGCTACAACTTGGACCAAGAGCCACCATAATTAAGCACCAGGATTTTCTAGGCGGACAAAGATAACGGTAACATCATGGAGTTGGGGGGTCTCCAGCTCTTTGCTTTCTTCCTGGCCTTATCTGGGGTCTCTGGAGTGCTCACAGCCACTCTGCTGCCCAACTGGAAGGTGAATGTGGATGCGGGCTCCAGCATCATAACAGCCATCGTACAGCTGCAAGGGCTGTAGATGGACTGCACGTGGTACAGCACCGGGATGTTCAGCTGCACCCTGAAATACTCCATTCTGTCCCTCCCCACCCACGTGCAGGCTGCGCGGGCCACTATGGTCCTGGCATGTGTCCTGTCTGCTTTGGGGATCTGCACTTCTACAGTGGGGATGAAATGCACCCGCTTAGGAGGGGACAGAGAAACCAAGAGTCATGCTTCTGTGGCTGGAGGAGTCTGTTTCATGTCTGCAGGGATCTCTGGTTTAATACCGACAGTGTGGTACACAAAGGAGATCATAGCAAACTTTCTGGATCTGACAGTTCCGGAAAGCAACAAACATGAACCTGGAGGAGCTGTCTACATCGGATTCATTTCCGCCATGCTGCTGTTTATCTCTGGCATGATTTTCTGCACTTCCTGGATAAAAAAGCATCCAGAAGCTTGGGTCGACCCAGCCAAGCAGCAGCATGTCTCCACCACACAGCCTGAGGGCAATTCAGCATACAACCTGAAGGATTATGTGTAAATATCTGTGTAAGGCATATGGAACTTCTAGGTGCCGGCTGTGACTTTTGCCTTTATTTCAGATAAAAAAAATAAATCAGAATTATGTTAACTCTCTACAAAGAATGCAAAACACTTTAAAAACAATAAGGGCATTCCAAATGCCAATAAATTACCACATACAATTTTATCTCTTGTAAGATTATTTTTCCATTACTGTTTTCATGGTTTATCTAAAGGTTTATAATTGAAAAGAGGTTCTGATTATATTAATAAGGCAATCAATTGATGGATTTTTTTTTTTTTCCCTTTTAAGATAACCTGTTGATACATCTTCAGTATTGGTCTTAACTGGATTTCATGAAAGCACTAAATTGCCAAGTATAAAAAGCACCTCGGCCTGGTTTTAACACAGGGGACCGTCCGCCTGTGCTGTCTGCTGGGGTGCACCACCGCTAAACGGTTTCTGGGTTACGGCGTGTTAGGGACAGAAGAGCTGTCCACATCTTTCAGATAAGGCCAAACCAGCCGCCCCACATCTCCATCTCGTCTGGCCTCCCTGTCTCTTTCTTCGGTTTAAAAAAATACCTACCTTACATCTGCGAGAGCCAATCATACAACAACCAGAAATTAGGCAGAACGAAAGAAAAGAAACTGGTAAACGCTGCCACAGCAAGGCAAAACCACACCAAACCCCAACTCAGATCTCTAGGACTTTTAAAGCATTAAAGACAAGCTAAGTGATAACAACAGAAGTTTGCTTATTTTAAAATGCTGAAGAACTGCCCTCTTCTGCTCAAGAGAATACTCCAGATGAAGTTCATTGACCCTACGACAATTTAGATTCACCCTCATCTCATTTAATCTCTCATTGATTAGTATTTGGATGATAAAGGTTACTTTTAAATTGTCATTTTTTTCTCATTTGATTCACATTAACAAAAACACTGTTGTTCTCTTATAATTGAGCTGCTTCAATTAGTTAATGATGTGAAAATAACTTTAGAACTATGAAGAATGCTTTTAGAAATATAAATTAAATTATGATATTTAATTCAAATATCTTAACAAGAAAGTAAAAATTGGATTTTTTAATGTGCAAAGGAAATATTGCATGCTGTTGTTTCTAGTAATTTTTTAATTAAGCTTACTCATTATTTACAATACAATGGTAAAAGGGGGAAAAAGACCATTTCTTTGTACATTAATAGCTCAGAAGTGGGAAGAATATGTTTTATGTGACTAAGTAATTTTCATCTGTGCATACAGACGTAGAGACTAAAATATTTTATACCAATTTTACTCAGTAGATCATCATGCTCTTCTGAAACAATGTCATTAGCTATTAATGGAACAGCTAAAATGAAAAGAGACTATTTCATACGGGAGTTAGCAAGGGAATCATTCAAACGGAAGTTCACACGTTGTTGAAGGTATGTATTCCTTTTGAGTGGTCAAAATATTTTCTGAACAAATGTCATATTAAAAATAACTCTATAGATAAAAAGAATATTTTTATGCAAATTAATGTGGTAGGATTGCCTTGACACCTATGGTCTCTCATTTTAGAGAGATCCATATGCTCTCTCCCATTTATGCTCTCTTTAAAGCACAGACTGGCTTTACCTGCAGTCTATGCATCCTATAGTCCTATACTAAAAGTTTACTTTATATATTCTATATAACCCTATACATACTTCAAAAAACAATTTTTATTTAGTTCTGGAATATTTTCTTTCTAAATAGATACAGGGATGTTTTGAACTCTCAGAAAAGCAGCCACTTCACAGAAAATAAAGGCCCAATTCTACACATTCTGGAAATGCGACCATGAAATGGTGAACTGCCTCCCTCCCTCCAGGATTCACCCCTACTGCGTGCCTCCTCCCAGAATCCTCCCACACTCACCCCTGCTGCCCAAGCTCCTACTCCTCCTCCTCTGAGGTTCACTCGGGACCTCCTTCGTAAACGCAATCCTGACTCCCTGAAGCAGCTTGCTGCCTCCTTCTCTGTGCTCTCAGAGAATGCGCTACTTAAACGATAGTTCACGTGATTGCATCTCCAACTAGACTGGGAGACAAGCTATCTTCTTACCTTTGTATTGAGTGACTTGTCACTGCAAGTGCTCACTATGACATGCCAGGCCTGTCTCAATCCTTTGCATACACTGACTGGTTTAAACCTCATGAGGACTCTAGGGAACAGATACTATTCTCAGGAGCTTACAGGAATTTGAGACAGAGAAAAGTTAAGCAAGTGACCTAATTTGCCCAAGGTCACAGAGCTAGTAAGTGGGGAGAGAGGATTCAACCTGAGGGAAACTTGCTCCAGAGTCAAACCACCTGGGTGCAAGGTTCCCCAGGACACAAGGTGTCACAGTACGCATTACCTAATCTAAGTCTGGGTTTGCTCATGGGATATTGAGGATAAATAAGCGCCTATTCACAGAGCTGTTGTGAGGATTCACTGCGAGAGACACACAGAGCAGCAGGAGCATGGGGAGCAGCAGAGTGCTGCCCAACAGTTCTTAGTTATTCCAGTGGTCTTCAACTGGGAGCAGCGTAGCCTGCCAAGGACACCTGGCAATGCCTGGAGACCTTTTAGGTTGTCACAGCTGGGGTAGTGGCGCTGAAATCTAGTGGGCAGAGACCAGGGATGCTGTCAAATATCCTACAATGCACCAAGAGGGTTGCAGCAACAAAGAATTATCTGGCCCCAAATGTCAATAGTGATGAGGCTGAGAAACCCTGATATATCTGAATATATTTAAATATTCATTTTTCTTTGATTAAAAAGTTATCAAAACAAAAACCAAAAGAACAAAATGCCAAAAAATCCCTAGAACATCATGCTTATTTCATGATGCGGCAGATACATGTGTAGGTGTGTTAATGTGTATTTATATACATACGTGACTGAAGAAGTCACCTAGCAATTCTGGCAAAAATGATGAAAACTTACATTAAGTCAGGAGAATTGGGTATAAGAATGGATAGCTTTAAGAGAAATGTAGGTGATGTCAGAAGTTGGTAACTAGTGACGGGTTGTGAGGGTAAAGCTAAGGGGCATGGGGACTAAGATGAGGTTAGCCCAGGTTAGGCTTGGATGACCTGGGCAGATGAAGATGTCATCAGTCAGCAAACTGAATACGTGGGGAGCAGCAGGCCTGGGGTAGGCAGACAGAAGTGAGTTCAGTTTTGGACATGGATTCAATGCTTTCTCATTACGTTTCTTTTATCACTATATTTTAGCTACATGACTTTGGCATATACTGACTTTATTGACTTTTAAGGATTTACATCACAGCCTGTGATTTTGCGGAACCTGCTGCATGTCTCTACATTACCTCCAGTAACGTTTGTGCTCATTTCATTGTACTTTATACATACATAAAAGTGTCATCTGCACAAATGCAATTCTGTGTCTTCCTTCCCTGGTTTTGTAATATTTATTGCTTATTTCATTCTTGAGTAGTTATGAAAGCATAACTTATACTAAATTAGATTATAAGGGTAAACACTCATTTTTATTCAGCATTTATTTTATTTGACTTTTAAGGAGGATGACCCTGGTACTTTTGTAATTATAAAACTGGTTCTTAGTTTACATATTTATTTTCATTTTACACTCACCCACTCTCAAAAAAGAATTTGAGACAACTTACAATAAAATTACTGATACATTAAATACAAAAGTCAATGATAAAGTTGAACAACTAAAGTTACAAAGACAAGGACGAAAGAAATAATGTTATTAAATCATCCTGGTTGAAGGCTGCTAAAGCAATTAAATATGAAACTTAGTTTAGAATCTCCCAGCAACCAAGGCAGAGACGACCACACAAGGGATCTGGCAGCTTTGTCCACTGGCAGGAACACAGACGCTACTACTGGTCCCTCGCCCAAGCTCCTTCCACTGGGCCTCGCACCCATCGCCTAGTCACTGCAGTGATGGGTGCTAACGGCTCACAGATATGGGGCTGCCCGTGCTGGAAGGCTACGGCACCACTTCTCCCAGGAGGTGGCCAGGAGCAATACTGACTGATACAGGGGTACAAAACGCTGCTCCCTTTGTGCCTCAGAGCTCCCCTCAACCCCCAACCTTCGACAACCGTGAGACCAGGCTGAAGCTGGTTTCCAGGCCAAACAACAGCCTCACCTAGCAATTTTTCCCTCTCTTATTCTGCTTGCCTCCTTTCCCTTCTCTGGAGAGCACTCCTCAACACACCATTTTCACAAAAATCCTTATCTCAATCTCTGATTCTAGGAAACCAGACCTAACATGGAAGAACAATAGTTAAGCAGAAAAATATTAGTCTTCTGACCTTATGTTGAAAGGATTCTTAAATATAGGGTAATAAAAAACAGAAATAACATCCTCAATATTAGATTTCAAAAAACACAAAGGCATGAAAAATGGTTGTTTCTTATGCGGACCCGTCCACTCACTAAGCTCAAGACTATTTCACACAGAGGTTGAGGCCTCAGCAGCTGTGGGCAAGCATGGGTGAAAGCCACTAAAAATTAGCACTGTCCTCAAAGGTCAGGCACAGATGCCCCAAGTGCCGACCCCTTCTTTATACTATGTTAGGGGTGTATTGTCATTAATTCATCTAAAATTGTATTGATATGATCTATGTTTTAAATCTGCACCACGTTTGGGAGTAACTTGCTCTATAAGGCATACTTCCAAACAGGCAAAATTAGATAGAAATTATATATATGTCTTAAAAATTATAATCCACAGTACTATATCAGAATATTACAACTAGTTTGTAAATATTTGCTTATAATCACAACAGTAACACCTACCTTCCACTGACTGCCTCCATGTGCCACATACTCACGTTAAGCACTTTACATGGGTTATCTCTATTCCTAATAACAGTCCTCCAAGGGTGGCATTACTGCCCCAATGTGATGGATTAAAACTCAGCCTCTTAACCTGCCCAAGTTCTCATAACCAGGAGTGCTGGACTTCCAGAAGATCTAGCTTACTTCAAAGTACTTCTAGCTCTTCCATTAGGGAATGCTGCCTCTATCATGTCAATCAAAAGAGCCTGTTGCAATTCTCACATTATATCTAAGTGACCTTTCTAGTAGGTTGGAGTACAGGACAGTGGTTAGACTAATACTTGTCCATTCTATGGGAAGGATGTTAGATTACCAGACCCATGACCACAATTTATAAAAGAAAAATATGACACAGAATTTTGAGGGAATAGCTAATAGCTCAGTATTTCTCAAATTTGAGTAATGTGCAGACTAGCTGAAAAAAAATTACTTTGGAACCCCAGAAATATGGAGATTTTCAGGGGTCTCCAGATGCCAGCTTGAGAAACTAAAGAAATAAGTTTTATTCTCTCATGGAAGCATCTTTCAGTTGTGAATTTGTACTGAAAAATAAACATTTTTTTTCTTAT